TTTCTTTTTTCTGTAACATGCACAAGAGTGTTGTTAGTTTCGTGAGTGTGACTACTGGCCTGGGAGACCGACGAAGTGAAAGAGGGCGTTGGCTGCTTCCTGAATATTGTTGTCTAGTTTCTCATCCTGTACAATAGTTTAGCTTCTTTTGATTGTAGCCTGGTTTCTATTTTGCTTGTTGTAAGCTGGCCCAGTTTGGAAATTCCACGAAACTATTTGTACTAGTATATTTCTGTGTTGGATGAAGCTGGAAGCATTAACACAAAGTAAGCACCTGCTGACGACACACGATGGACAGAAAGTACACTCTCAGTTCAAACTTGCTGGTTGATACTCCCAAAATAGATTGGGAACTAATTCTTATCAATGGTATGTTCTTTTAGAAATGATTAGGAATGAATTCACGAAACCTGTTCCAAAGATGCTACACAGGGCGTGTTTCTGTTCCTGACTGGAGCAGCACATTTTTGGAGCAACTTGATGCAACTGTGACTGCTATTCTGTACCTACATGGTTTTTTTTTTTTTTTGCAAAATCTGAAGGGTGGGACGTTGAGATTTCATCCTGTCCCTACATTCTGCATCCAACGTTTTGGCTGTGTAGGGAGTACCTGGAGCACCAGATGCGTCGGAGCACAGGATATTTCCCCTCTCTTCTTTCACTGGGCATACAAGAGACTACTTGTTTGGATCTTAGATTGCATTTCTTCCATGTGAGAGAGGAATCAGGGCGCTTTGCTACTTGTTTATTTACAGCACACAGTCGTTGGCACGTGAAGCTAAAAATCTCACATCAGTTTTTCATTGTCTGAACCTCAGCTTGTTGTCTGAAAGAAAAACAAAGTTACTCTGTGAATTGGGACTCTCCGCTTTTTTTAGAGATATACTCCAATCTCTGCTAGTCCTTTTGTTTTTAGCAAGTGAGCCTCTGTTTTCTTAGGCGAAAATCTCAGCAAGTCTAAGGCACTAATTTTTTTTGAGCGACGTCTAAGGCACTAATTAGTTTTTTCTTTTTCGTGGGACTGGTGGGTGCACTAACAGCCCAATTCGTCCTAGCCGAAACAAACTGGGGCGATCGATATCTGTGGGCCGTGACCTTGTTGATGGGCTTCTAGGCAGGCCCCAAACAGTAGGAAGCACAGGCACAGAGCAGGTTATGCCGCGCATCTGTCCGGCTCGGCGAAGGACGAACGCAGCTTTGAGCTTTGACGCGTTGGTGGAATATATAATCCCATATCGCTGCGCACCTCAGCGGAGGCGGTTTAGGGGACCAATCAAACAGGACAGTGGGTCACGGTTCAAATCATATCTTTCTCGGCCTCTTGTCTAAGATCAAGTGTAGTATCGGTTCTTATTAGTTTAATATCTGATACATGGATCTACGGATTCATGAGATGTTAAGTTAATTTTTTTGTGCGGAGGGCTCGTTATAGTGGCTTGCTACTGAGCCCTGAGTGTCACATGGGTGTTGCACTATAGCCCTTGATTGACGCACCCCAACCAAACCAAGTCAAATAATTTTTTTCTTAACTAAATCAAAACCAATTTTCTTTTTTGAGGCTAAATCCAAATTATTTTACATAACTTTGTAGTTGTCTTCCCACATAGAAAGAAAACAAGGTAGCCTGTATTCATCATGAGGGGCTCAGATTGACTGACGTTATGTCACCTGACCAATGAGCTAGCTCACCTAAGTCAGCCGATACAAAGTCACTGAAATCTCAAGCCCATCATGTGGTAGTTTGCCAGCTAATATTAGTCTACCGCCATTAAAGATGGTTCAACGCATTCAAAAATTTGAAATAACTAGACAAACACTAAGAGCCGACATTTTGGTAAATGTATCATTTATATCCCAAGAAATAGTGGGGTTGTTGTTTGATAGTTTATAGCATAATATATCTTGTAGCTAGGACCAAAGCAGATGTTGATTGAAAGGAGAAAAAACATAGGGAAGTGGTATTAACCATTTGACTGAAGGATTGAATTAATGCGCACAAATATTTAATAAATCACGTGGGAAAAGGCTTCATCAATCCACAAACAACCAGATACCTTACTACAACATCATTCTGTACATAACATCTTCTGGGTTGAACATGCCTGATTCATCAACAACCCGAAAATTCTTAAAGGTTGGCCAACAATCAGAAAAAAGCTAAAATCAAGCATTTGAGATCACATAATCAAACGACATTAATTTTGCGATCATATAGTATGTCCGACTTTGAGATGCATGCAACATTCATCATCGTAGCAACGATAGAACTTTAGACAATGTCGAAGTTTAACATGTAAAAGATACTTGTGTAGTATGTGTAGCATAATTTACTCATGATTTACTTTTAATTTAAAATTTTCTTTCAATGTTAAGACATTAATCCAAGTGTCTGCAAGTTTATGGGTTCAACAGACTGAAAAGTATGACTTGTCGTGTTTAAGTTTATAAAAAGGTTAATAACTTTTTGTGTTTAACCATTCAGCTAGTTTTTTTACCCCTTTTTGCATCCAAGTGGCAATATCACTTTTCAGGCCAAGTCCATTCTCCTGGGTCTGCTACTACTGCTTTAGAATTTCAGAGTCAACTAGCACACTATGCTCTCTTGAAAGGGCTTCGGGTGTGTTCGGAGATCCTCCCACTCCACGCTTCATAAATTCCTGGAGCAGATTTGAGCCGAACGAAATATCTCCGAGAAGCTAGCTTCAGGAAGCTATGACCGATTGCAGTGCAAAAACACGAATTGGAGAATGATAAGTTTGCTCAATTTACAGGGTGTTGCCACCGCCAAAGAAAACGGTTTGCTGCCCCCTTGCTCGAAGAAAAGAATCTAGCGATCTCCAGTGAATCGATGCACTGGGCCTAAATTAGCTGCCTCTAGCTGGCCCAGTCGGTGCCAAATGGGCCACAACCCTCCCAGCTGGGCTCCAGCGCTACGAGAAGCTGTCGATTCAAGCAAAACGGTTTCTGGATCACCAGATGAAGCTAGAAGCCACAAAAAGAAGCTGGATTTGAGAAGTTTTGTGAAGCTGGAGGAGATCCGAACACGCCCTTCATCGGACCGGACCCATCAGCCATCACTCAGCTGGTCTTGCAATTGCTGCGTTTTTGACATCCTTCTTCTAATCTAGGGGAGCAAAAGTACCCATGTTTTCAACCATGGCAATATTAGGCAGAAACTGATGGCAGTTGAGGGAGGGAAAGGATTTGGGGGTGTCATATTTATCTCGATTTGCATGTTCTGTTGATTTGATCCGTTCAAACATCGTGATTTCGTGGCACTTTTGCCATGGTGCCTGAAGGTTCTACAGGAACATAGAGGGGGAGGAACCAGATCCATGTGGGGGTGAAACGAAGGGGGGAATTCCTCGTCGGCAAGAAGGTAACGAAGAGTGAGGGAAAGTGTGGGTTTTGGGGGGTTGGCTGACAGTGTGGGGCCGAGCAGACCTAACAGGTCTCTTCATGCTTTCCGCACACGAGAGGGGGTCTGGTTGCTGACTCGATTCGTTCGTCATCGGAGCTGAGGAGAAGCGAATGAAATCGTTCACTGGGAATGACCACCTAGTGGAAACGGCCATTCGTCGGAAAATACGGCCACAATTGACGGTCACTGAATATTCATGTCCTAAATTTGTAGTACTCCCTCCGGTCTTTTTCTACTTTGCACATAAGAATTGTCTGAAGTCAAACTTCATAAAGTTTGATCATATTTATATGAAAAAATATCAACATCTATCATGTTAAAATTATACAATATAAAAATTTAAGTCATGATGCATCTACTGATATTAATTCCATATTGTGAATGTTGACATTTTTTCTTAGAAAGTTGATCGAACTTTACAAGGCTTGACTTCAGACAAATCTTATAAGCGAACTAAAAAGACCGGAGGGAGTATATACGTGGTGAACGTCTGGCCCAAGGTTGTCGACATGCATTTCGTGTTGTTGCTCCAAAACCCGGTGGGCCAAATACGGTATGTACTCCCCGCTGGGTTGTCGAGTACTTTACACCTCCCTCTCCTATAAAGAAATCTGTATGTTTTTTTATTCAAACAAAAAAAGAGGTTATATATTTTAAATGAGTTGTGTGATTTCAGAACCATTTTGACTGCCTTCTTTGCTTGGATGGTCTATTTGAATCAAGGTCAATATTAGGCATATTTAAAAAAAACACTTTATGCTTTTTGGAACTCGAAACTTGCGTGTAACATTTACATGTTTTGTAGTTTGTCGGTGAGAAATATCTGTCTTTCGCTCAGATGTGCGTCCCGCGTGCACATGCTTCCGGTACATCAAGTTCCGAGTCAAGTTTAAAAGAGAAAAAAATAATATTTTTTTAGATACACAGTGAACAATGATCTTATTTTGAAGATCTCATCAAGACAAAAATGACAGCCAAAACGGATCTTAAATCAAACATTTGGTCAAAAATATATGGAAAACGCTTACTATCAATTGGCGGATTGCAGTGGCCGCGTCCGCCAACTTCCGTGAATGACAACATCAAGTGAGGGCCTACATACCATCCTTCATGTAACTGGGGTTATGCTTTTGAAACATATGTGGTGTTGCAATGGTCTATGACGGGTTTATGTTTTACAAGAAAACTTGTGATTTTTTTTTTGCAACAAGACCTAAGTTGAAATTTCTTTTTGCAACAAAACCTCAGTTGCAAATATATTTTTGCAATCAAACAGTTGTTGCAAAAAAAGTCTGCAACAAGAGTTGTGTTGCAGAAATAATACTGCAACAAGGCCTATGTTGCAATGGTGGAGGTGTGCTCGGCCGGTCGATGCGGCAGATCTAACAGCTCGCGGCCCAGCTGGGCGGACGTGTAGCAGGCCCCCAAAAATATACAAAACCTTCCCGAAAAGAAAAAAAAAAAAACCTTTTGTGTTTGGGCCAGAAAAATTACCTAACTCGTTCACTGGCTAGATCTAGTTTCATCTCCGCCCCCTCTGTGTGTTTCCGATCGATCTTGGCAAGCCGCTGTGATCGAGATGGACCTGGATACGGCGGCGACGAAGCGAGAATCCGAGGCCGAGGCAGATGAGCCACGGCGGAAGAAGGCGGCGGGGGCGACGAAGACGGTGAAGGTGGTGCCGTGGCTGATGGATTCGTTCGAGCAGGTGTTCGATGAGGATAGGCTGAAGCATGCGGTGGCGAGGCTGAACCAGGCGAACCCCGGCGCGCCGCCGGTCGTGCCGGAGGAGCTCACCGAGGAGAGGCGGGCGGCGCTGTTGCAGGAAGATACGGAGTGGAGGAGGAAGAACGGGGACAAGGAGCTCGCGCCGCGCGGAAATACGTAGCAGAGCAAGCCCGGGCGCCACCATCGCCGGAGGAAACTACCGACCCCAGCAAGGACAGGTGGCAGCTGGATTATGACCTTGGCCGCGAGGAATTGGAAATGAAACTGGCAAAAAGGGAGGACTTCGAGGGCTTCGACTTCAAGCGTATCCCTGCCATGTGTTTCGGGGACAACCCTATGCCTGATGACACCAAGCACAGGCTTACTGTGCAGATCTTTACTGTCAAGGTAGCGGGGTTAGATGGGGATTTGCAGTGGCCGCTGATGTGTTTGGGCATGGTCGCTGTGCGCGACAAGCTGGAATACAGTCGCAATGTTATTTTCAACCACACGAGGGACAACTGCCAAACCCTCACTCAACAGGTTCTTTTGTTTGGTCCTTGCTGTGGAGCATAGTGCAATGTTTTCTGTTAATTATCCCTTGGGTACCCGATAAATCATGAGTAGACATCCAGCCACGCGAGGTTGGAATCACGGCCGCCCGCTTTCACGTGATTCGTGCCGTTCAAATACATCGAGCCTGTATAATGAATTCCATTGACTGTATACAAGTTGTATAGCTTGCTTATTATCTCTGACCTCGCTAGCAGATGGCCCACAAGGCATCGTCATGCATTGAATCGAGACGAGCATCGAGTACATGTCAGTCCCAGTGGTTATCTGCACCACGCTCCCCTCACTCGTTTTAAACCTCCAGCTTGCTTGTTTCTGCTGCCCAACCATTCTTGTTCATGCTCACTCTTCATTGGTCAGAGTCTGGCCGGAGTTCACAAGCATGTGTTCATACACGTCTCAACGCAGCGCCACACCACACCACCTCCATCAGTGTGAAAGCCACGAGCGAGGCCGGTGCTTATGGATGGCTGCATGTCATGGTGTAAGTTCATCATCGGTTTTTCAATCCATCCCGTGTACTCATCCCGGCTAACAAAATTTCGTTGCATGTAGGAGGATGCATGTTCTGTAAGTGGGAGGGCAAGTATATTCAGTCCACAGTCTACCACCACCTCTTGCACTCCACGGTCTGTAAGTGCACCGACACCTGATCTTCACCCACCACGTCTCACTTCTTGAAGACAACCAAGCTTGGCTGAAGAACATATTCATCACGTGCCTTGCCAATTTGGTATGGATGTATCTAGATGTATTTTAGTTTTAGATATATTCATTTCTGCAACGAGTAATTTGGAACGAAGGAAGTAATAGCTACCCCCGTTCCAAATTACTCATCGAAGAAATGGATGTATCTAAAACTAAAATACATCTAGATACATCCATACTTGCGACAAGTAATTCGGAACGGAGGGAGTAGTAATTAGTTTTCCATCAAGCTCATCAATGTATGTTCTAGTATCTGCTGCCTGGTTCACCTACAGCGCAAACAGCTTTGTGTTATGGTCTCATGGTTCGTTAAGCAATAAACAAAGCAGGTGAGTTCAATTTCACCTTCACCATTACAAATTAATCAAGGTTTCCAGCAATATCTAACTATAATAATCTCCCGAGTCCTGACAAAGACTGACTGCACACAAAAAAGCATCAACAATCACATTAATCATGATAATCTCCTAACAAATTAATCAAGGTTCATATATGATACAATTTGCACATGCTGCCGACATTCCTTTAAATGGCTGTCACCCCGCTGTAAATGCATGGCAGGCAATCAAGGAACCCTGGAATGATTAAAATCATCATTTATCATAGACGAACCTGTATCTCCCACGATCCCCGGCCCTAGAACGTCCCAAACCAGAACAAAAGATGATACGGCAAATAAAAAAGATGAAGTATAGTGTTCAGTCGTAACCAAATAAACAAAAGACTCCAGATCAAGTATAGTGTCGATACACTAGCCTGTTAATCTCTGTTTCTGCTGAAGCCATCTCCTCTTGTTATGCACACCCACTGAAGGACGGGAGTTACCCCATCTCCCGGGCCGGGGCTTTGTTTCTTGTCTGATCCATTGAATGCTGCCTGTACCTTGAACCATGCCTGGTCCACTACTGAGTTGTATAGCGTATTCTTGTGAAGTGGGAATTCACGCGGCGCGCGTATTGCAGAAGTCCTATTAAAAGTAGCAATCGCAGCGCCCTGGCGGACGACCAGGATATCGGCAGCGCGTAGCCGCATGTCCCAAAAATTCACGTCCTTGCGTACCTACCTATCTTCTTTTTTACCCCCATACATAGAGATCATGTTATTGTTATGCTCATTGAAGCAACTCTGACCGGTTTAATTGAATTGGTTGCCTTCTTAATGAGCTTTTAGAGGGTACTGTATATTGTACTATAGTACTTGACATGTAACTATCCAACTTTATTGCTTTTTGGCAAATACCATGCTTCCCAAGTGTAAAATTTCTATCCGCACTGGTTAATCCAGAACAATATAGACAACTTGATCTATTGTGAACCGAACAAAACTAAGGAAATTATATAAAAGTTCTGGTCATATAGGAGTTCAATATGAGTGGTTAACTATGAAGATTGAATGCATACTAATTTATAGATTCTATAAGCTATAACATTATGCCATATAATCAATCACCATGAAGACTACATCACATATTAGAATGCATGACAGTCGATCTTACTTTCTATATTGTATTCTTCCATTTACCAGTGTAAAAAAAATCTGAACAAGATTATAGTCTATGCCATTCTGGATGTCAACTTAACCACTTGTGTTGTATGCAGGATCCATATTTAGTACTGGTAGGTCCTACCCGTGTCGTGGTCTATAATGGGTATGTGTACTTCGAGGCCATGCTGAAAGTGAAGGGAAGTATAGAATCTGAGGACACCGATCTAAGCCTTGTATTCGAGCGGACGTGGATTTTTAGAACACCTGCACCCCGGCCCTGGTATCCTGGCTGTCCAATATTGCTTTAAGATATGTGTAACACAACTAACTTTCTATATGAAATTCTCTTTTTTGTTTCTCTCGCATAAAACATGTCTTGAAGTTCAAATCTTTGCGGTGTGGCAAAGCTTTCTAACTAGATCATTTTTTGTATATTTATGTTCGACAAAAAATTCTTAAAGATTTATCCTAGATTCTAGATAGAAAGCTTTGCCACGTTGCAAAGGTTTGAACTTCAAAACATGTTTTATGTGAGAGAAACAAAAAAGAGAAATCTATTTGCACGAATCGCGATGCAGGGAATTAATGGCTAGATAGAGAGGGCCTGGGTGCAGGTGTTCTATTATATATTTTTGGTATTCGAGCGCTTCTTATGTTGTGAAAAGATCAATTTATGCGTAAGCTTTGGATAGTGCATGCTCTGATCCTGCGTGAGTAGCAGTCTCTACACCAGCAAGCATAGTACATTGGAGTTAACATGTGGCCTCGTGGTGTCTTCCGTTGAGGCCATCATCGCTGTGCAGATCGTCAAGGGGTCATGGCCAGATGGGTCCCGAGGCCAGCTTACTGCATGTATCGGCAGTGTGGGTGACATGAATGTCATGCTGCTCGACTCTGGAGAAGAGAAGGCGCTTGTTGTTGCTGACGATGGCACAATTGAGCTGTCGCGTCGTGTTGTGTCTGTTGAGAGGTTTGGGCAACTGATAGTCCGCGGCGTGGTGAGTCGAGGTGGTCGTGACCATGATGAGGTTCTGGCAGAGGGTAAGGCATCCTTTGCGCCTCTGGATGCAGGTCAAAGCCGTGGCATGCTTGATCTCGGTGGCATGTGTAAGCTGGAAATCACCGTCACCTGGTCGCGTATCCTGTGGTCTACCTCCAACCGGTTAATCAAGGGAGGCCCTTTAGCAGGAGATTGACCATGGCTTGGCCTAATTCTGGGAGGAAGGAGTTGTTTCACTTAGGTTTCATCAGTGAGTGGTGGTGCCATACGAATTGTATATGCAAAAACAGCATGCTGAGTTGCTGACAGGCAGGCAGACAGATTTTGGGTTGGCTAGCTGGGAAGGGGAAGCTAGCTTGCATTCAATTTGATGCTGCTGTCTAAAGAAAAGGGAGTGACTTGCAGAAAATCACCACATTGAAACGCGGGGTTGTAGAAAACACTCTTCTATGAATTTGGGTCTAATCTTTTGAAGAAAGCATTGATCGGTCCCCTTGGGCATTTTAATTGCGATTATGACATGTGGGTGCCGCAACCGATGACGTGGCATAACGTTCACAATAGACGATGTTAGATTGGACTTTAAAAAAAAACCTCCCTAAAAAACATATGTCCCTCCCCTACTCGATCCAATCGGGATCAGGCCCCCGCCGCCATTCCCGCAGGCCACCGCCGCCGAACTACACCGCTGCCGCGGCCTGGGTCAAGGTGCTAGCCGCCTCCTTGACGTGCAGTGGCGACTCTAACCTCGCGCCTGCCATGACCACGACGTAGTCCCGGTCGAGATCGGTGGCCATGGCCGAGGCACACAAGTTGGCTGACGCCTGCTCCTGGAAGCATGGGGTGTGGGACTAGGGTCGGCTCTGGCTCCGAATCACTACACAGAACGGCCGTGACCTCCCGCCAGTGATGGCGGCAGCGCAACGACCTGCACACGGAGCCTCCGCGACCTCCCACCAGTGACGACAGCATCGAAACAGGGAACAGCGGCGGGGCGTAGCACGAGCGCAAGCAGCGCGCGGCCGTGGCACGCAGAACCGGAGCAGCCTGCGACATGCCGGCGCAAGCAGCGGCGGCAGCGGCATGCGGAACCGGAGCAGGCAGCGGCATGTCGTCGCAAGCAACAACAACAGTGCACAAGCAGAAGCAGTGGCGCGGCGGCGCGCACCACGGGTGCAGCCAAGCAGCAACCCTCGCTAGCGAGCTCCGCCGTCGTCGAGGCACCGACGTGGGCGGCAACGCTCAGCCGTGAGATGGCCGGCGAAAGAGTACATCCGAGCTTGGCATGTCAAGGGCCTGATTGCATTTTTGTTTTCTGGTCGAAGGGTGAAGGAAATATGCCCTAGAGACAATAATAAAGTTATTATTTATTTCATTATTTCATGATAAATATTTATTATTCATGCTAGAATTGT